TTCTAAATTTTTTATCATCACTTTTCGATCAGGGTAAATCATACCGGTCAATTAATATTTTTCGTTCCGCCATTTCGGCAGGCCATGACCCTATTGATAATTCCTTAGTTGGGAAACACCCTTCTGTGTGCAGACTTTTACGGGGCATTCGTTTGACGAGGCCACCCTCTGCCAAATATTCTGGGTTCTGGGATATATCTCGAGTCTTCGCACTGTTGGAGTCCTGGCCCCCTAACGAGGCCTTATCCCTTTGACAACTCTCTGCGAAACTAGCCCTGCTACTGTGCCTGGTGTCCTTCCGCAGAGTTTCTGACGTTCAAGCTTTTGACTCACACGCTGTCTCCTTCGCAAGTCTGATAAACTTATTAACCTATATACAGATTCCCATTTTATATATTCCAGCATATTAAAGGGACACTATAGTCACCAGAACAACTACAGCTTATTGAATTTGTTCTGGTGAGTAGAATCATTACCTTCAGGCTTTTTGCTGTAAACACTGTCATTTCAGAAAAAATGCAGTGTTTACATTACAGCCTAGTGATAACTTCACTGGTCACTCCTCAGATGGCTGTTAGAGATCCTTCCTGGGTCATGGCTGCCTAAAATGCATCCAAACATTCAGTGTCTCCTCCCTCTGCATGAAGACACTGATCTTTCCTCATAGAGATTCATTGATTTAATTCATCTCTATGAGGAGATGCTGATTGGCCAGGACTGTGTTTGGCTTGTGCTGATCTGCCTCTTTGTCATTCTTTGTCATTCTCAGCCAGTCCTATGGGGAAGCATTGTGATTGGATCAGGCCACCACTTCTGATGATGTCAGCAGACAGCTTGTTTTTCTGAGGCAAACAGCATGCAGAGTAACAGCTTCAGGCTTGGATACAGTAAGATTTTGCTATATGTATGGAGGCATGAGGGGGGCTAGATGGTGTTTTTAACATTATAGAGTCAGGAATACATGTTTGTGTTCCTGACCCTATAGTGATCCTTTAAAATAAAGGGTATGCTCCTATTAACAATGAGGGAATATATCCCTGGATACTTCTTGATTATTATTATTATTATTATTATTATGATATTTATAGAGCGCTGTCAAATTCCGCAGCGCTTTACAATGGGTGGACGAACAGACATGTAGTTGTAACCAGACAAGTTGGACACACAGGAACAGAGGGGTTGAGGGCCCTGCTCAATGAGCTTACATGCTAGAGGGAGTGGGGTAAAATGACACAAAAAGGTAAGGATAGTATTAGACTAATGACAGTTGCAGAAGAGGACTTGGTCATATTGAATTATGGAGACATACTCGGGTAGGATATTCACTGGTCGGCCGGAGAATTAGATATGAGAGTACTAAATCTACTGATATTATTTCCCTCAAATTCATGTCCTAATGATAATTAGAGGCTGTTTGCAAAGGGCGAATAGGTAAATCCTTCATTTAAGCCCAAAGAGTGTCTTTATATATATATATATATATCTCCAAAAATACTCTCTCCTTAATAGGCATTTGTCCAAGTTTCCTTTCCTTTGATCCAAGGTAACCCATTTGATTCCAAAGTACTTCGAGATGCCTTGAGATCTGTTTTTTTATATTTCTTGCTGTTTAACCCCTTAAGGACCAAACATCTGGAATAAAAGGGAATCATGACATGTCACACATGTCATGTGTCCTTAAGGGGTAAAACAGAGTTGATGTGTTCCAAAATACGCTGTTTGAAATGATAAAAGATTTTTCTCACATGCAGCAACAGGTCAATAAATACACCAATCCTTTGGAGTTACAGTTGAAAAGAAATTTGGCCTAAATGTGTTCTGTGTTGACAGTATTTGCAAAGCTTTTAGAATTTTTAGTATGAAATTGCAAGCCTTGCAATGCCCATACTTGTATGTGCCTATCAACTTGTTGGAGCAGGTTTTTTTTTTTAAAAGTGACTATGCACCAAGCTTTTTTTTAAGTCTTGCTTCCTCATGCCGTTATAGGGGCATGTAGGGAAATTACATCTTTCAAAGGTTCATCCTGTTTAATTAGGGGCCAGAACCTTGAACAGAGCATTTTTGCGCCAATGGCAATATTTTGGATTATTTCATGTTTGCTTGGAAGTATGGAGGTGGATCTGTATTTTAGGCCACACTATTGCACTTTATCAAGGTTACACTTTTTGGATATTTTGCCTGTTTTAATAGGGGCTAGAACCTATTCAGAATATACTTTACCTGTTCTCACCCTGCATCAAACAGTGTTAGACATCTCATCTGTTTTGATTCTTGAATTTTATTCTTGAATTTTATTGGTGGCAGGGGGGATTTCGCTTTCCATAAGTAGGTTGCCATACCAGACCCCACTACCCCTTGTAACATCGCCGGCTCTCTTTCCCAGGTCTCCTCTCTATCATCCGCTCAGGACCTTGTTGCTGCATCTCTTGCCAGCTCTGTCTCTTGTGGCATGATGGATGGAATGGCACCCTCTGGGGGGGCTTCCATGGCTGTGTGTTGTGAAGTTGGCAGGGACACTAGCAGGATCCCCACGCTTCCAGCATCTGCATGTTCAGGTCCACCATCGGCATGTTCAGGTCCCTGTACCAGATACTTCTTTCTCTGGCGAGGTGCTGCAACTTTCTGCACCTGTGTCACAGGGACTCTTTCCTCCCACGCTGCTCCTCTCATGGTTGGTATGGCACCACGCTCTGGTTTGATTCTACCAGTACAGGCTACCCCACCACTGCCAACCAGTTTTGCAAAGCAGGATACACTGCAGAGTTGCTCTGGGTATTACAGGATTGTCTACCTAACAAAAATCCGCTGTGTGCACTATAGCAGACCGTAGATAGTTATAGCAAAGAAGAGACAAGCAAGGTTCTTTTTGATGTAAATTTGAACTCCAATGAATTGTTTATTTTGTGAGCACACAGCTTTTTCTAAATTTACAGGCAAGACACGCTTGTTTGCATTTTACAGGGAGGGGTTTGCAGGTATATTAATTACAGCGGGGAAATGGTCAGAGCCAGCTCTTGCAATACCATTGGTCTACTTGACCATCTTATTTTAAGCTAACAATAGGCAGGATGTGACACTGTTTACTCAGTCCCATCTCTCACTGTGCTGGCTAAACATTTTACAATGGATTGCTAGTTACATTTCATAATGCCATCAGACAGTCTGGCAACTAGCTGAGGCCATCTGAAACCAAGAGTAACTGAACGCATTACCCATGCATTATTATTATTATTATTAACATTGGTATATATATAGCACCAACTTATTCCGCAGCTATTTACAATAACTAACATAGCTGTTCCATTTCCCTCTTGAAACCCTACATGTTACAATAAGGTAGAACATGGATCTACAATGTAACACTGTCCTGAGATCTTCATACGTCTGCCCTGTTTTTGCGAGCCAAGGTAATGGCATTATGAACTACATACACTCTAGTTCTTCGTCTGTGTGCATTCCATTGCTAGCGATGGTAGCAAAATGTCACTGTGAGTTCTTAAATGGAGAAAGGGAAAATTTGCAAATAGACCATTCATTACAGGTAGGTTTTGAAATGGAAAAATCAATCAATGTATTGATTATTTCTTTGTGTATCTGCCCCTGGCCAAATCAATGAAACAATGCGTGCACGCTCCCTGAAGTAATTCACACCAGACACAGGTTCCAGGTTGTTGAATAACTTGAGGAAAGTTTATTCAGAGGGGACGGCAGGTCCCTTTTAAAGCAAAATTACATCATAAGCATTGTCAGAGATAACATGGAATAATACATCAATAATTGGTTAGGTGTTAAGTGGTTGCTCTAATGCTCTGCCTACTGTAGGTGATGTCACCGGGCCATGAGGGTCTCCCACGGTTTTCCGGCACCATCTTGCTGCACGAGGTAGTTAGTCGATGTTAAGAAGGGAAGGGGGGGGAGGAGGGGTTAGAAGCTTCTAGCAGCCATTTCGATTAAAACATGTGTGCTTAGCTTTATATGTGATATATCGTGAAATGAGTAAATAGACATTTTCTCTAATTAGGAAATATGTGCAGACCTTATTTCCACAACAGTCCCCCCTAAAATGGCTATTTACCATAACTGCTACTGTCCCTAATATGTCCCTAGTTGCCTGCAACCTATCTGTCTTAACAAGCATCGAACACTTCACTCCGCGGGTAACCCGCAGTGGCTAGTCCACTACATCTCCACACGTGAGACTCGCCTGTTAAGACAGACGCTTTCCCTACACTATCCCTACACTATCCCTACAGGAAAGCAGTCGTCTGTTTGAACTGATGTGATTGTAGGGGTGTATATGGAGTGTCATCTTCGAGGTCTGTGATATCTTGATGTAGGAAAGTAGGGGTCACGTCATCTACAGTCTTATCTACCGTTTTCTGCAAGTACTTCTGCATGCAAGGGAGTATGCAACAGGTTAAAAATAAGAAAATGATGATCATTATAAGAACAGCTGTTCCCACCTGGAAGAGGGTCCTTTGCCAACCATTCATCCACCCAAACCATCTGTCCCACGTGTCAGTGACTCCGGAATTCTTCTTTAGCTCGTCTGCAAGACTATCTAGTTTCTCTATGGCCATAGTCACCTTACCATTTGGCCCAGTGTTGTCTGGAATGTATGTGCAGCTTGTCATGGTCTCGGGGAGGATCTTACATACTCCCCCCTTCTCAGCTAAAATCATATCTAGGGCCATTCTGTTCTGGAATGTCATTTGGGTAGTGGCTTGTAGCTGTTCTGCTAGGCCCTGTAGGGCATCCCTTGTATAATTAACAAAGCGCTGCTGATTGTAATAGATGTAGTTGATCCAATTGACATTTTTGTTAGCAGTTATCATTGGAATTAGGGATTCAAATCCTGCAGCCACTTCATCTCTTGCTTTGAATTCGTTAGGCACCCCCCTTGGCACACCTATGGCATCAATATACACATGGGGGTCGAAGCTCCCTCGGATAGGAGCCTCTCGTTTGGTTCTAGAGTGTGCATATGTAAGGTTTAACGTGTTATGACTACCATCTGGAATAATGTGGATAGGCATTATGACTTTGGTTAGGGCACACTCCCCCCACCATTGCCCAGTTAATTGGGACCTCAATTGTTTGTCACCACATAACCAATAGATATCCCCGATTGTCTTTGTGTGGTTCATTAGCAGTGATGCAGGTGGATTATGGTAAGTTGAGCAGTATCCTGATGGGAATTTGCCCAGATACAACCCAGTGTTCTTAGGTATTGAATAGCATGTGTAATTACCTGGGTAGATGGTGACTCCATCAGGTGGTTTCACATGTCCATGGGTGATTGGGTAAACTTTCTTCCATACAAACTCAGTACACATAATTCTATTTCAGGAGGTAAGCTCAGAGGTACTGTGCCCAGATGGGGTCTGGCTCCTCCACATACATAACAGTTAGTCTTATTATGCGAGTTAGCATTATACCTCATCCACTCTAGCCACAAATTAGTGTCTGAAAACCCAGTTTCTACTGCCATGGTATCCTCAAAGGTGGGGTTAGCTATAGCTACCATGTCATGTAGGGTCTTAATGTGTGGTTTCAATGGGTTAATGACCATATGTGTAGTCCCTACCCAGTCTGAGGAGTTAAGCATATCTTGTAGGTAAAATGTCCCCAATGCATTATGTGAGCCGCCTCCCTTCCAGTACATTCCCATCACATATTCCCCTGCGTCCCTTGGGCTAGGGTGTTCTATATTCAGGGTCAGTTTAATGGGAGTTGACCCTATGGGTTTACTCAGGGTCATTCTAGAAAGTAAGGGTTTCCCGTCTTTGTCGAGTCTGTCCAGTGCAACTTGAGGTCTGTAGCCCCATGGCCTACCTGTGTTCCACCCGGCAGCTTTCCATGAACTACAATGGTGTCCCCAAACTCCTCCAGTCACACAAATGTATGGATCCTTTTTGTTAGGTATGTCCTTGTATAGGGCTGCATATTGTGTTTGTGGAAATGTACAAGTAACTATGTCACAGTAGTCAAAGGTGTATGTAGCTACATCAGTATTAGAAGAATTATACCAGAAAGTGTAAACGTGATCATCTTTGGTTATGGCCACTTGTTGGGCCCAGACAACGTGTAGCAACATAAGAAAACACAAGACACATAATAAATTCATATTTCAGCAGGATCAGCTTCTTCTGGAACAGGCACTTTTTTGCAATGTGAAGCGTGTATCCAAGAACTCTTTCCAGCTAGTTTAACTGACGTTGCTGTAATCAGGAGCACTTGATAAGGACCATCAAATCTTGGTTCTAGGGTGTGTTTCCTGAGAAACTTCTTGACCATAACCCAGTCACCCGGAAGCAGCTTGTGTGTACCTGTATTCGACTCAGGATCTGGAATAGAAGAAAACACTTGGGCATGTATCTTGGTCAAGGCATGTGAGAGGGCAGTCACATAGTCTACCATAGCGTCTGACTGAATCTGAAGCTGTTGGGGAAAGTAGCAACCTAACCTGGGTGCTGTACCAAACAAAATCTCATAAGGTGACAGGCTGTATTTTCCCCTGGGAGTGTATCTGACACTAAACAACGCTAATGGGAGACTCTCAGGCCAGGGCATGTTAGTTTCTTGTGACATCTTAAGCATTCTGGCTTTCAGAGTGCCATTCATGCGCTCTACCTTACCACTACTCTGTGGGTGATATGGTGTGTGGAATGCAAGGGTCACCCCCAGTGCTGACCAGACTTCCCGTGTTAGCGAGGCAGTGAAGGAGGTCCCTTGGTCACTCTCAATTACTTCTGGAACCCCATAGCGGCAAACAATTTCTGTCAAAAGGTACTTGGCTGTAGTCCTCGCGGTGAGATTAGTCACTGGGAAGGCCTCTGGCCATCCTGAAAACATGTCCACTATAACCAATGCATATTCATAACGTCCACTCTTTGGCATCTGAATGTGATCAATCTGAATCCTCTGAAAGGGGTATTGTGGCTTGGCTAGGTGATTAGGTGCAGTCTTTATGACTTTTCCAGGATTGCATTTAGCACATATTGTACAAGATTTACAGTAGTTCTGTGTTAAAGTAGTGATGCCTGGTGCTTCAAAATACTTGTCAATCAGTGAGTTCATCAGGAGCTTTGACAGGTGGGCTGGCCCATGGGCCCATTGGACCACTGCTGGGTACATACTTCTAGGTAGGCAGAACTTGAGATTGATGGTGTAAACATCATCACGGAGTACTGCTCCTTTGTTCTTCCAACTTTGTTTCTCCTGAGGAGTGGCAGCAGCTTGTTGTTCCTTCAGGAGCCTGAGATCTGTAGGCAATGTCTGCATAGTGTAGATAGGTAATGTATCTGTGGCCACTCTTCTGTCCACTTCCCATCCTTGCCGTGCTGCCTCTTTAGCTGCCTGATCAGCTAAGTGGTTGCCACGTGCTTCTTCTGTGTCTAATCTTCCGTGGGCTTTTACTTTCAATACTGCCACCTCTGCTGGAAGTTCCAATGCATCCATCAGTTCTGCAATGGCTGCCCCATGTTTTACTGGGGTACCAGTAGCTGTAAGAAATCCTCTGGTCTTCCAAATTAAGCCAAAATCGTGTGCCACTCCCAGGGCATATCTTGAGTCCGTATAAATGTTAACACGTAGACCTTCAGACAGTTTGCAGGCCACAGTCAGGGCTGTTAACTCGGCTTCTTTGGCAGACTTAGTTGATTGTAGGGCAGCTGCTTGTAATACTTGGCATCCTGTGGTAACTGCATATCCAGTGTGATATTGTCCCTGTTCATCAGCAAACCTTGAGCCATCCACAAATAGTGTTTGATCCGGGTTGAGTAATGCAGCTTCATAAACAGTTGGTAGGTGTGTAGTTTCCATTTTCATTTGTTCAAAACAGTCATGGGGAATATCAATGAGGTCGCAGTCTGTGGTAAGTGGGTCCTCACAGGCCTCTGTGTGGTACCTGGGGTACCCTATTGTGCAATAGTTAATGGTCTTTTTATTGATCCCCGTAGAAGTCAGTTGTTCTTGAGTCATTTGGTTCCAGGTTCTGGCCATCGGGCCTAAGTCCTTCCATGAGGTGTTGTGGGATCTGGTGAGAGATATGTGTGGGATAGCTGTTTCCCAATGGTGATAGAGGTGTGTTACATTCTCTGGAAGGCGAACCAAAATAAGCATGGTACCTGCGGAGTCCCAGAATAAGTCAGTCAGGGTAATTTGAATTTCTTTGAGCTGGAATAGTTCTTCCTCATAGTCCATATCAGGGCTTGGTACGTCCCTAAACCACAAGGTACAGTGGAGTAGGGCCTCTGATTGTTCATCATGTGGAGGTGTAAGTGCAGGCAACTGTAAATCTGCTCAAACCTCTGGGTTGATATCCAAGCTGTACCAGTGATGCACAATTCCCCCCTTGGGAAGTGGCAGAAGAGTGGCTGGGTTCAGGGAAAGGCATCTCTGGAGTTTCACATTGTCAGGTAGGAGTAAGGAGGTCTGTAGGCGAAGGTGACGTTGGGAGGAAAGGTGCTTAGGTTGAGTTTGTTGTAGGATTGCAATAATGTCATGAGGGGCCAACACTGTGAGGTGGTGGCCAAGAACAAAATCATTGGTCTTGTCCAGGAGGGCGCTGGCGGCAAACACCGCTCTGAGGCAAGAGGGACTACCTCTCGCAACAGGGTCAAGCATGCAGGAAAAATAGCCAATAGGTCGTTGTCTTGATCCATGTTTCTGGGTTTTACGGATCTGAGCCATCCTGCGGAAGAAGGGCATGGGGTGCTTCTCAGGATCAGGGAGTGAGGTCACAAGGGTAGCAGCTTGGGAAGGGTTGAAGGTAACATACATAGGCGGTGCACCATCCGCACCATGGTTAATCGGAGTATACCCCTGGGGGATTGAGCACCGTTGGGGGAGTCTATTCCCCCCTGGGCGGGGTGAGCCCCGGTCCACCACAACGACCTCTTCGGGTACCACCGGGCCGCGGTGTAGAGTGGTCTCAGGGGTAGCTGTGGTGGGGACGATAGGGAGACCGGTGATAGGAGAGGTAGTTGGGTGGAAACCCGAGGCCTGGGGGGAGGCACCCATCGCGTAAGGCTGGTCCGATGTCACTGACACCTCGGACCCAACCACCATGATTGGGTAACTAGGACTGGCGGAAGGGACATGAGGGACCAATGCCATGGAAGGGGCTGTCATGGGGGCCGGTTGGGTTGGGCGTGAGAGGTGGGTGTTTAGGACGTGAGCAAGGGCAGAGATTGGATCGGAAGGCTCGGGGATGTTAGCGGGAGACAAGGGAGGGGTCGGAGATTCGGGGGGAGGAGGAGGAGGTAAATCAGAGGGAGGCAGCACATGGATCGCGGAATTAACCAGGGAGGTAACAGCAGAGAAGAGGGCGGAGATCGAGCTAGACAGGTCATTGGCCACGGATGGGTCGGGGGTCACCGGGGGAGGGGTCGGAAGGATAGGGGCAGGGGACTGTGTTGTGATAACGTGGGTGGAGGGTTGGGACAGCGAACCAGACGGGGGAGGAGGGGGCAACGAAGCAGAGGGGGCTGGGGCTTCGGGAGGAGGAGACAACACCGGAGATGGGATTGGAGGGCTGGTAACAGAGGGTTGGATCAGGGCTGTGAGGGCAGAGATTAGGGACGGCAAATCAGCCGAGGGAGGAGGAGGCAACGAGGTAGAGGGGGCCGGGACTTCGGGAGGAGGTAACGCTGGAGAAGGGGTGGTAACGGGAGGTTGGGTCAGGGCGGTGAGGGCAGAGATTAGGGACGGCAAATCAGCCAAGGGAGGAGTAGGCAACGAGGTAGAGGGGGCCGGGACTTCGGGAGGAGGTAACACTGCGTGGTTAGCGGGAGGGTCCTGGAGGGTGGGAGGGGTGTCTAAGCACAAGGGAGCAGAGGCAAGGGAACTGGGATTAACGGGCTGGACAAGCGCCTTCGAGAGGCTAGCGAGGATAGAGGAGAGGTCTGGGTCCGGGGGTACAGGAGAAGGAGGGTCTGTGGGGAGACAGGGGTCCGGAGGAACGGGGTCGGTGGAGCGGGCAAGGGTCGGGGGACCAGATAAAGAGGGTGAGGGAGCGGATATTGCTAGGGATGGGGTACTCGATGTGGAGAGGGAAGGAGAGGAAGAAGAGAAGGGAACTTCGATGGGTGAAATGGGAACAGTTGGGATGGGATCCTGACGAGGAGTCGGAGTGGATGCAGGCACTGGGAAAGGTAGCGGGGGAGGTGAGGGGACTTCAGCGGACATGACGGAGAAGTGGTTAATGGAGGGGGCAGGGTCACAGGAGGGTTGAGGCATGGGAGTGGGTGGAAACGAGTGAAGTGGCATTGGGAAATAGTAAGCACCATCTGCACCAAGTACGGGGCACAGGGGGGTGGGAGCTGAAGGCACGCCCCCGGGGGGTGGGGTCTGTACTGTGACAGGGGAAGCGGGGTGGGAATTTACTGTTGCGCTCTGGGCGCCATCATAGGGCGGTGGTCGCGGGACAATAGAAACAACATCATCATTGTTAACACTCCTATGGTAAACATATACAATTTGCCCCTCAAACTCCAACTCTTCCTCGACCCATCCCTCTCGTTTCAAACCTCTAGCTACCCGATACCAAGCCTCTGCAACCTTTGTGAGTCCGTTATCCAACAACAAACCTTCCTTGTCTATGAGTAACTTCCTCCAAAACTCAGGTTGTAATCTTCCACTGGGCAACGTCTGAAAGCCACACACCTTAGCAATCTTTTTAAGTTTCAACATTGCATCTTCCCCTGCCCTCTCTTTTACAATGTCACAAGCCAACAAACCCTTAGCAGGTCTAGCGTGTTCCTGTCCCATCTTGTATAATCAAAGCATGCCACGTGTTAAAGACAGGTAAATGGAGGAGGTACCGAGGAGAAAGGAAAAGAATGTCTACAGTGCTCGACTGCCACGAGAACTTGAGCCTCGTGCGTCTTCCCCAAACGTAGACTAGTCACGGGAATCCGCCCACCCGGGGTGGTGGTCACGGACAGGAGCGAATGAGTGTGGGTGACTAACACAGCTCTGGGCAACAGGCACAGGAAAGATAAAAAACAAAGGAGAAGATGAACGTGGCTGCACTAATGAGAAGACATTTGCAAAAATCACAAACATATAAATGAGCGTAAACACCGGAATCCAGAACTAGCCACACAATACACACACACACACACACCGAGGGTACCCACACTGTAACAACAATTAAACAAAAACCACAGGATGATAGAGAGTAAAATGGCCATGTACATGTTAACACCACTGGTACCAAATATCCACAATGTAACAATCCCCAGCCCCGTTATAACACGAGTACCAATGAAATCTTGCAATAATCAAACAAAATCCCAGCCCCACCGGCTGTAATGCGTACCCTGCCTGCTGGGCAGTCAAGCTAACATAAAGTCCCAGCCCCACTGGCTGTAATGCGTACCCTGCCTGCTGGGCAGTCAAGCTAACATAAAATCCCAGCCCCACCGGCTGTAATGCGTACCCTGCCCGCTAGGCAGTCAAGCTAACATAAAATCCCAGCCCCACCGGCTGTAATGCGTACCCTGCCCGCTAGGCAGTCAAGCTAACATAAAATCCCAGCCCCACCGGCTGTAATGCGTACCCTGCCCGCTAGGCAGTCAAGCTAACATAAAATCCCAGCCCCACCGGCTGTAATGCGTTCCCTGCCCGCTAGGCAGTCAAGCTAACATAAAATCCCAGCCCCACCGGCTGTAATGCGTACCCTGCCCGCTAGGCAGTCAAGCTAACATAAAATCCCAGCCCCACCGGCTGTAATGCGTTCCCTGCCCGCTAGGCAGTCAAGCTAACATAAAATCCCAGCCCCACCGGCTGTAATGCGTTCCCTGCCCGCTAGGCAGTCAAGCTAACATAAAATCCCAGCCCCACCAGCTGTAATGCGTACCCTGCCCGCTAGGCAGTCAAGCTAACATAAAATCCCAGCCCCACCGGCTGTAATGCGTACCCTGCCCGCTAGGCAGTCAAGCTAACATAAAATATGAAGAAGGAGCACACACACACATATTATGAATACAGGAGGCAGATAGACAATCGACAGGTTCACTTTAAAAAGGCACACCGGATGAGTTAGTTACCTGTCTCTAGTAGCCTTCTGGAAGCCGGAAGTGGACTCGGAGACAGACCGACACAAAACAGGAGAATAACACAGGCAACAGCTGTATTATGGAGGTGATCAGGCTCCGCTTGTCCCACTTTCCGGAGGTCCGCTCCGGTCCGTTGGTTCCGGCCCTCCGAACCGGCCCTCCGGTGGCCCCACGTTGGGCGCCAATTGAAATGGAAAAATCAATCAATGTATTGATTATTTCTTTGTGTATCTGCCCCTGGCCAAATCAATGAAACAATGCGTGCACGCTCCCTGAAGTAATTCACACCAGACACAGGTTCCAGGTTGTTGAATAACTTGAGGAAAGTTTATTCAGAGGGGATGGCAGGTCCCTTTTAAAGCAAAATTACATCATAAGCATTGTCAGAGATAACATGGAATAATACATCAATAATTGGTTAGGTGTTAAGTGGTTGCTCTAATGCTCTGCCTACTGTAGGTGATGTCACCGGGCCATGAGGGTCTCCCACGGTTTTCAGGCGCCATCTTGCTGCACGAGGTAGTTAGTCGATGTTAAGAAGGGAAGGGGGGGGAGGAGGAGTTAGAAGCTTCTAGCAGCCATTTCGATTAAAACATGTGTGCTTAGCTTTATATGTGATATATCGTGAAATGAGTAAATAGACATTTTCTCTAATTAGGAAATATGTGCAGACCTTATTTCCACAACAGGTTTTATCCAGGATCGGCAGCTATACAGGAGGGGAGCGGACTTGTTATGGTGGGTGGTAAACAAACACCTTCTCTGGTCCTCTCTTGAGATGCATAGAAGTTGTTTGACAGAGTTCAATAGCCATACTTGTTCCAGGTAATGGGAATCCACTTGGGATTTCCCTAAAAAAATTTAATGGCTATTAAAGCCTTATATACAGCACCGAGCAAACAGAAAATAGTGCCTTGACAAAGCAGGCTTCCTTTTGGTTGGGTAATGGCACACACCAGGGATGTCCTCTCTTCCCCCCTTTTGTTTGTGTTGGATTTAGAATCGCTGCTCCTTAGCATCAGATCCATCCATGATATACAGGGGATCAAAACAGATTGCAGATATAAAATTTAAAGTATCGGTATATTCTAACAATGTTTTATTTATTCTCAAGATTACAACAAATTTGATAGTCCACTTCTACAAGCTTCTCACCCACTTTATTGGTCTCTCAGGCAAACTCTATAGCCATGCTGGCGCAGTATCTGTGGGATCCACCTACCACCACAAAGTCACATACAGTTCAATCAAGTATCTTGGTATAACACTCATGGCTGACCTGTCCTGATTATACGCATTAAATTCACAAAACTAATCAAAACACTGGTGGGGGATCTTGACAGATGTATCTGTTACGGTTGCCTTTAGGCAGGCTGGAAGTTGGACCGTAGAAAGGATGCTCCTAGCGCTCACCAAAGGACCATAAGCACCGTAGACACCATAAGTACTACACCGACACCATAAACACTGCAGACTCCATGAACCACCGCTGCTGGGCTGGTATTTCGCCATCTTCTATCCACCCTGGACCTATGACCAGGCTCCAGGATACTGATGAATGTAGTGGGTGAACCTCTTCCTTCTGTAGAGCGAAGCAGGATCAGGAACAAGAGCTCTTACAAGAGCTCAGTAGCTAAGGGAGTATGAAGAGCATAGCAATCCCTGTAGTGATTATAGCTGTCCCCTACAAACATGAGTCGAGGCTGCAAGTTAGAGGGTCAAGTAGCTCTGTTTAATTGGCACCAAAAGGCCTTCTTTTATGGAGATCTTACACATACAGGACCGCCCTCAGGGTTTTGCAGAACAACCAATAAACACGTAACATACAGTAAAACACACCCATCAATAACACACAAATCCTCCCCTCTGCCTGTGTTATAATTACGGAACACAATGGGTTAAAGTAATTATCACAGGCAGGAAAAATACACTTGTTATACATACACTGTAACTTTAAAAATATACGTCCAATCTTACATATTCAGAATCAGCATGCTTTAAATATAAACATAACCAAAAATCACACAAATCATTCTAGTGGATAAAAAGTTAGACAGAAGTCCTTTATGACCGACCGCAAGCACATTTTCCTGCCCAAAACAGTTCCATAGATTTGGGCTGTGTGGTCGGTCAATTTCAGGCAGAAACATTACTAAGTCCCATTCGAATGCACGAACAAGGCCATTCGTGCATTTGGCTCAGTATAAGTGAGTTCAAACTGCCGAATGGGACTTAGTATCTGCGGCTTCGAATTTAGTGTAGGAGAAGGTAAGGGTCAGCGGTGTTTGTTGAAATGTGTAGCCGATTTCAGTTCCATGAATTTGGCTACACATACCGCTGACCTCGTTCGAATGAACAAAGATAGCCGCCGCAACGTGTTCGTTTGCACGAACTGCGGCCACCCAGCGGTTGGCAGTTTACCTACAGCAGGCTCCTAGCCTGGGAGGTAAATTGCCTGCACACTTCCACTTCTGGGTGGTCCGCCTGTGTGGTACTTGGTTCAGTAAGCCCCATTTACTGAACCAAGTGTAAAGAAGCCATGCATAAAGTATTTTAACCAAGTCTGGGGACACTGGGGACAAAGGCTTAAAGGGGCAGTGTCCCAAACAAGTCTGGGGATACCGTCTTAAAGGGGCAGCACCAGTCCCTATGTCCCAAAAATGTGCTTAAAGGGCCAGCACCAGTCCCATAAAAGTCCATAAGCCCCAATATGCTCATAGACTGTTCTAAAAGGGCCATACACACCAGGGCCATATTCATGAGGAAGGAGGCTGGCAATAAGGCTTCTCCATAATACAGGGAAGCAGGCAATTTGTCACTTAAAGAGCCAGTATCGATAAGTCAGTCTCATGGATCGGGAGAATCCACTCGGTCAAGGTAAATGTAATTCCAAGAATACCTTTTCCCTTTCAAACACTGGTAGCGGTGTACAGAGGGGTTCTGTCGAACCAACAATGAGCAATAGTTTTACTTGACAGCGGAGAAGGGCATAGAGTGACTGGAATATTATTGAATAGGCCCAAGGTAAGGATGTCTGTGGCTTCTCCATTTGCACTCATATTATGTAGCTACTCAAGTAGCACAAATAGTTACCTGGCACTCCCCCACAGATTTACATAGATGGGTAGACCTTGAATCCTTAATCATGGATGTAGATTTACCACAATTTTGGATATGGGTTCCTAGAGCAGACAGGCCCTACTTGCGCACCAACTACCCGGTCATCCTGTACTTGGTGCAAATATGGGACTCATATACTACAAGTGTTCCCTGATGAGAACAGAGCCTTTGAGCCAGGGATGGGGGTTAGAGGTTTTAGAGGTCTGGAACACACCGTATGGGCATTTATATCTCAACAAAGCAGTGCTTACATTTGATGAGCTTAAACAAGCTGCTCCATTGTCAACTGGAGACTTTTAGATATTTACAGTTAATAGAACGTGAGGGTGGTGGTGGGCACCCTACTAACCTTTTCTTTGCAGATGTGCACTTTTGATATGATACATAAGGGGCTAATAATTATGTTATTTGCCCACATCTGTGACACAGCTGGGGAATGGGGCTCTCTGAAGTATGTGGATAAATGGGAGGCGGACATGGGTCAAACGCTGGAGGGGGAGACTTGGAGGAAATTATTACATTGCAGATGTCTGTTGGAAGGAATGTGTACATTCTGGGAGCTTCATTTATATGTGGTGGGAATGCCCTAGGGTGCGGTTATACTGGGAAAGGGTTAGGAGAATGTTAAATGCCATTTTTCACAGTTCCTTCAGGACCCGTGGTCTG